GAGACGCCCCACGGCGGGGGGGGCGCGCCCCCCCCAGCCGCTCTGCTGATTCGCAGCCACACGAGGACCCCCCCGGCCTGGGACAGGAAATCCCTGGGGAAGGGCCGCTGAGTCAGCCCCACCACTGTCACCCTCCCTGCCACCACCACCCTCCCCAGGGACAGCTGCCACCAGTTGCCAGCCAGTCTGCAGCCCCTGCTTTGGGGAGGGACCCTGCAACAGCAGGGGCTGGGGATCAGCCCCAGTGCTGGCACATCCCACCCTGCCAGCCTCGCTGAGCCCCGCGTCACTGCCACGGCACCAATCCACCCCCTGGCCATCTCATTGCGGGGTTAGAGTCCAACCCAGTGCCAGGTGGAGACTTTGGGCATCTGTGTCACAGCAACTGCATTCCCTAACCAGTCTACTCCAGCCAGGGTGTCACGCATCTACCCCATGAGCCGGGGAGGGGCAGGACTGGGGGCCGAAAGGCAGCAGGGCTGCAGGTGGAGATGGTGGGAGCACAGGGGCCATGCCACCCCGGGGTGGCAGGGGATGGGTGGCAGCTGTGGGGCCGAGCAGCACTCACAATGGTGGCACAGAGCGGGTGGAAGGCGTAGGTCCCACAGGCGTAGAGGTGGGTGCTGTTCAGCCGCTGCAGAAACCGCACGTGGTTGAAGCACTCGGTCTGCGGAGGGGGGAGTATAGGCGTCACCACCCAGGGAAGGCAGCAGCAGCCCCCCCAGCACCCAGCACCCACCCACTGGCTCTACCTTGTTGTTTTTGCCCTTCTGCAGGCAGTCCATCTGCTTCTCTGGGGAGGCTTCCCAGTGGATCTGCCAGGGGAAGAAGGACTGTCACTGTGTGACCCCCCCATCACTTTGTGCTCCCCCTGTCACTGCAGACTCCAGCCTCAGAGGTGCTAAAAGCCTCTCTTTTATTTAGAGAGGGGATGGATGCGCAGAGGTGGCACCTGCCTATGTTCCCCCAGCCCTAGGCCCACACCCTGACCTGTGGCCAGAAACCCCACAGCACCCGCAGGAGCCTTGAGGATTTTGGGGTGTCCATCCTGGGGGCAGCAAAGGGGTGTGCTTTCCCTCCTTGCCCCTCATCCTGTTGGGGTGTCCCTGAAGCAGGCAGCTCTGAGCTTGGGGACATCTCCCACTGCTGTCCCCATGCTGCCTGGCTGGGCAGAAAGACCCAGAGTCCACAGGGGACCTGAGGACAGATGAGCAGACAGCACCTCCAGGCAAGACCCGAGATGGTGAGCAGGAGGATGCGCTGGGATAGGGTGGCCACGATTCCAGCAGGGACTGGGCAGCATGGGACAGGAGAGGACAAGCAGCTGGTGGCAGGCAGAGACTGGGCTCACCGTGCGGTGGGAGCCGTCGGCCACGTCACTGGAGTTGAGGGCGAAGATGGCTCCCCTGGCGCCCACGTAGAGGATGCCCAGGTCGTCCTCCAGCAGCAGGGTGCTGTAGTTGAGGGCGCGTGTGCTGAAGCGCCGGATGCCCGACAGCTCTGCAAAGGGAACGGGGGCTGAGGAAGGACCCCAGGGCAGACACAGCACGAGCCACCGGGAAAAGACAGAGGACGGAGCTGGGAGCAGGTGGGAAGGTACCCACCGAGGTTACCAGTGCCAGGTGACAGTGGTTATGGCAGGAGGAAGGGCACTGGGGAGGTTTGGTAGTTAGTAGATGAAAGGCACTAATTTGGCTCAGGTTCACAGGGGCAATTTCCCCCCACTAATTAAAATAGCAGCTCAGGGACAGGAGTCACAATGTCCATGCCCAGCATGGATCTGTCACGCTGTTTGGAAAACTGCTAAAGGAAGGCACAACAGGCCAGCAGAGACCCCGGCTCCAAACGGGACCCAGCCAGCTGAAAAGGAAGCTGAAACTGCTGTGCAAGGCAGGGGCTCCTGCAGCGAGGCTCAGCACTCTGCTCACTGAGCTGGAGAAAACATCCAATCCGGGGTGCTGAGAAGTACAGGGTGGGTCTCAGCCCTAGCCAGAGGGACCATGAGCCAGGTTCAGACCCTCCCACTGCAGGAGGAGAAAGTCCTGGGAGGACTCAGGACTCCAGAGGCAGCTGGTAGGGAATGACACCCCCACGGGCAGGCATTGCTTGGGGGGAAAGGGGTGCCACAGCTGCAAATGAAATCCTCTCCCACCATCAACCACTGAGCTAGGCTTCACTAATGAGGTCAATGAAGTCACATGGCCAACTGGGACATGGTGACACTGTGGAGTCCCAAAGCCCAGCAGCAATTAGAGAGGATCGCAGAAGAAAGCTCCCTGTCAACCATCTGGGCCACAAGAGCCCAGCCCAGGTGTGATGCATGGCTCCACACACCCGCCAAGGGCTGGTGGGCATGGCTGGGGGCTGTCCCTGCCAGCTATCAGGCAGATGTCACCAGGCTGGGCAGACCCAGGAAAGCCTCTCCCCGGCTCCATCCATCCTGGAGCACGTTGACTCCAGGCACCCAACATCAGCCAGCCATGCGTGCTCTGATTTCTGGAGCCCAGGGGACTGAAGGGTCCCCCCCAGCCACCCCCACCCCGTGCTCAGCCTCTGGGTGCAGCCAGCACTGGAGCTGGTGGAGGCTGGACACGGTCGCTGTGCACCAAACCCGGTGCCGGCGAGATTCCAAACACCACCGTGGCCGCACCCCCTTACCGTCAAAGCCGACCGTTGTCCTGGGGGTGGCGTCCAGGTCGGTGGCAGAGCG